TGCAACCACACCCGGAACGGTGGTTACCCACTGCTGGGAAGCAGCTGCACCACGAGAGATTAAAATCTAAAGGTGTTCACTGGGGGGTGGGAACAGAACAGAAGATGCCTGGGAATGTTGTTACCTCATGATCTCCAAAGCTAAAACTCCACTTTTACTCTGATGAAAGAGATAGACAAGAAAATTAATACGGAGAAAAAAAAAATCTCTAGGCAGAGCTGGCCCCATGCCAGATTTTGAACCGGAAGCCTCCGACAACTACCACTCCCCACATTTTCTCACTCCTGAAAGAAAATACGAGAAAATCGGTGCTGGGTACCTAGTGCTTTTGGAAAAAGAAAAAGAATATAATCAAAAGAGCATTAACTAACACTGCTCTCATGTTGTGTGCCCGATACTCTGGAGCACTCCACGAACAGTAAGTCTATGAGACGGGGACCATGGTTTTCTGGTTTTATAGAGAATAATTTGTCCAAGGTCATAGCTGATAAGTGGAAGAACTGGATCAATTATTGATTCCCAAACTATTAACCGTTAGAATCAGTGTATCTCCAAGTGCGTCAAATCATTGAAATGCACATTTCTGGGCCCAGAAATCTAGATTTTAAAAATCTCCCTAGAAGAGTCTTCTGTGTGCCAAACTTGGTGAATCTCCTCACTGCGCTATCCTGGGAAGCCGAGTAAATGCTGGGTCACTGGGGACTTTCTGGGTGCAGGGCAGTGAATCAAGTTGCTCGCTGTTTTGCATACTTGACAGCAAAAGAAAATTAGTCTTCCCCTAAAGCCCCAGTGTCACCAGACCCACCTTTGGCCCTGGGAAAAGGCCAGTGAAATTATGTAATGATTTTAACCATGATATACCACCACGCCTGAGGGGACATCTGCTTGAGACCTCAGGTGGTGAGGGAGAGGGAAAGGGAGAGGATTGATGAGCTGCACGTGGGACTGTGCTTCTCTGACAGATACATCAGGAAGGGAATTCCTCTCACCCAAATGGCTAAGCTCTTTTCTACATACTATTTCTTTCAAGTGAATGAGATGCGGCAGCATCACATCAGAGAGAAAAGAGCTTGATTTTGCCTGAGTTCAATGCACAAGCTCTGTGGTTCAGATGAGTCCCTAGTCACCCCTATGCTGGCAGGGCTTCAGGGAATGGGTTTAGGTTGTTGAACACAAATAATCTGGGAGTATAGGAGAGGGCAGGGGAGAGGAAGAAGAGGGAGAAGGAGGATAAAGAAGGAGAAGGGTAGGGAGAGAGGAGGAAGGGGAGGGAGAAGATGGAAACAAGGGAAGCAGAGGGAGAGGAGATCTCACTCCCAATATCCAGTAACATCACACAGCTAGAGCGGCAACTTTTTTTTTTTAATTTCCAGAATTCTTAAAACGTATTAGAAGCATCTACTTTGTTTTAATTGCCCTGTATTAACTGTAAGCAATGGCACTAGGAATTTTCTTAACTGGACATTTGCTTAACCACAAAGGCTTACAAGCACAGGAGACACTTAAAATACAGGTACATAAAGGTATATTTATGAACTCTTTCACCGATTCTTCATCATAGAGCATGAGAATGGGAAGAGCTTGAAATGAAACAGGCAGAGTAAAAGAATTAGGAGAGTTTTCATTTTTCCTCATTTGAATTCCAATTTCTAGCAAGAGTTGTGCCATCTGCATCGTACAGGACAGTGGCGCTCAAATCTGAGCATTCTTGTTAAGCCTCAGGGTCCTTGGATGATCCATGGTCTGGCTGAAACACTGATCTATGCCCTCTCGTGCTCCGGTTGTGTTTTATCAGTGGCGAATAGCAACACATTGGGTTGGTTGATGGCCTAAGTAGCCGTTAAACTAGAACAAACAAACATTTGAATATCGTGGCTGATGTGCAAATAGATCCCGGGCTATAAAATCAGTGTAGGTGCTTGCTGATGAAGATAGGAGGAAAAAAGGCCTCCCTGGAAGTAGATCATAAGAATCAATATAATAGGCATTTTGAATTTCTGTCTAGATAGTTATGAGTTTCTCAAACCTTACAAAATTTGATCCCCAGTGTCTAGCATACTGGCTAGCCCAGAGTCAACACTTAATAAAAGCTTTAAGAAAAGATCTCACTTCCTCTCACAGAAAACCAGAATAGGCAGGAGAGGGCTTTTTGGTAGACAATCACCAAGGCCCACAGTCTGTAATAGACAGAGCCTGGGCAGAGAAAAAATGGCAGACACCTCAGCACAGCTTCAAGCCCACGTCTAGAACAATTATTGTAAGATAAGTGGGTTTGATTTTGCCATGCCAATACAGAAATTGCCAATGGCAGTATGTTTTGTGGAGATTAAGTCACTATCAGGAACCCACACTTTTGATCTGCCTTTAGCTCATGCTAAGCAACCAAAAGTATTCAAGTAGCCGCTGAAATATATTTAACATTTGTTATTTTATACTTGTATTTTTCAGTTAATACTAAAAATTAGCCTGAGTCTCAAGGGGGAAAAAATGTCCATTTTGGGAAGAAGAATTGCATCATCAGAAGGCAAATAGAGTCGGAGCAGAAACACACTGTAGCCTAATCTCTGTTTTCTCCTAGGAATCCTTAAACACCCAAACCATCTGTAAGAGGATTCTAAGCAGAACCATAATTAAACCCTATACAGTGGGAGGACAGGGAAGAGAGAAGGGAAGGAGTTCAACAACAACAACAACAAAATGAAGTTGTCCCTGTTTGGTTTGAGATGGCGGGCTATTACATGTTGAGAGACATCAGCGTATGCTAGCCAATTGTATCCATCAGTTTTCCCTAGGTTATACTGCGTTACAAATGCAAATCTCAGTGGCTTACAACAACCAGGGTTCATTTCTCACTCACATACACGACAGCAGCAGGCCAGCTGCAGCACTGCCCCTGTCATTTCCATGCAGGTTCCCAAGCTGAAGGAACTGTCCCCACCTGGGACAGGCTGTTCTTGAGCAGAGGGAAAAGAGAAAAATGGCTAAAGCATCGCAACAGCTTGGCTGTGCAGTGCGTCATTTCTGTTCACATTCCACTGTCCAAAGCAAGTCCATGGCTAAGCCCATTCAGTGGGGCAGGGAAGTATGGTCCAGCCACAGGCAGGCACTGAAAGTGGACAAATACACAATCTTCTCACAGAAAGAGAAGCAAGTAATTGGAACTGTAGTACACACTGCCACAGGAATCATAACAATTTTATTTGTTATTTAAGGAAATAGTGCCATGCTCTAATTGACCTTGTTGCCTCAGCAACTAATAGCCAAAGATGTTGAAATAGTTTTATCATTTTTCCATGGCCCACATTTGCTAGACACAGCCCTACTTCATTTCCTCTGCTCAACTGCCTCACTCACCATGTAGGGAAAGAGTTCCATTCCTCACAGCCAGGAACTTGACTCCGTAGGGAAAGAAGGAGGTCGAGTGGGAACTCCCATGGAGTTGGATTCGAGCTTTGCCTTGGAAGGGCTTGTCCTCAGATCCAATTCGGAGCTCTCCACCGTCAGAAACAAGGATGGCATGTGCCCTGAGCTCAATGGGTCCCGGAGCCATGAATATCAGCTTGCCCCCTAATGGACAAAGAAAAAATTGTCAGTCTCTGGGAGGACAAGGCTCACCCTGTTTTGATAGTTCTCATGTCTGAAAAAAGCCCCTTCATTTATACATTAATACTTCTGCTAGAAGTTAGACTTATTTTATCTTTTACTCTCTTCTAGAAGCACAATAGGGTAGCTCAGACACCCAGGAGCAGAAGCACTATATTACTAACCTAGCTTAGGCATCACTATTACTATTATTATCACTGTCACTATTACTATTCTATTACTATTCTCTGCAGCTTTATTTATAATAATATTTTCTATGATAATGATTTAAATGTCCAGCAATTTAGGACTGGTTAAATAAGGGA